AAAAATGTCTGAGGCATTGGCAGTTAATACTACAGCTTGTCAAATAGCCCTTCCAACATTTCACTTGTGAAATACAAAAATTAACCACTTAAAAAACAAAAACATGCTTTGGCTGCCCTTCTTAGGTTTTCTTCTTTCTTTTAAATTGAAATAGGGTCTTGCTAATGTAGCATAGGCTATATAATCAAGCCTCCAATCTTCGTGCCTCAGCCTGTAGAGTACTGGGGGAGAGGATGTGGCAGTGTGTCACCATGTCTAGCCTCAATTTTTTTTATTAGCTATCCTAATCCATTGGATATCCCAGGTTCTCTGTTAATGTCCAAGAAAAGCTAATTCTATGAGCAAATGCCACATATAATTAATGGTACTTCCTTAATAATAATTGTCCTAGTTGCTTGTCTGTTACTGAGATAAATACTGATCAAGAGAAAGTTTTGGAAGGAGAGGGTTTATTTGGGTTACAGGTTATATACCATCATTGAGGGAAGTCAGGGAAGGAGCTGGAGGCAGGAACTAAAGTAGACACATAGCTCAGGCCCACATGCACAGGGATGGTACTGCCTACAGTGGACTGGGCATCCCACATCAATAGCAATCCAGAAAATATCCCGCAGACATGCCAACAGTCCTTTCCAGGTGTATCAAACTGAACACCAGGATTGCTCATCATGGTATTCTGGTGAATGAAAGCTTTCCTGATCATTCTTCCTGAGTATTGCTCATGTCTACTAAACATCCATGTCTATGACAATATTGTAGCTCATTTATGGATTTGCATGAAGTACAATAGCTTTTCATCCCTGGGGCCAATCGTCTGTAAAGATGGCCATGAACAAGTCCCTCCACCCTCTCTGTGCTTGTCCCTTCTTCCCTCTGTGGCTAGAATCTATTGTCTCTTCTAGAAGCTGAGTTGGCTTTGTGGTTTATTTTGACCGACTGAATGCAGTGAAATTTTGACATCCAGACTAGGTTTTTACTTGAAAGGTGTAGCTCCCATGATTGCCCTCTTCAAAGGTAGCCAGCATGAGCAAAATCTGCTCATCCTGCTGGGAGCCTTGTTAAAAAATAGGCTTAGATGAAGACCTATCGATGAAAGGGTTCTGTGAGCCTGAGAGGGTTTCAGAGGGACAGGGAGGTATACATATGGGATATGGGAAAGTGCCCCAAACAGGTTGTACTTGCCTGCATGGCAGAAAGAACCAAAGAATAAAATATGGGCGTGTTTCCATGGTGATTTTGGTTGGCTTTCAAGATTTGTTGATTTGCCCAGCTTGGGTATTTAGCAAGGATGAAGCTGCCAGTGTTGGCTGATGTAGTGACTGGCAGAGTGATAGTCATAATTGCCTTGGATAGTTGCTTCCTTTGGCTGGCTTTAACAGGACCTGCTGTCTAAGCAGTGGCTCCTGGGTACATACTGTCTTGCAAAAACCCTGTTGCAATGGCCGCCTTGAGCAATGTTATGAGTTAAATTCTGTGTCTCCAGCACTTCAGAATGTGGCGTTGTTTGGAAATAGGGTTGTTGCAGATGTATTACCTAAAATGAAGTCATAAGAAAGCTTACTGGGCTCTGATCCAAAATGGCTGATGCCTCTATGAAAAGGGAAATTTTGGACACAGACACAGAGACACACAGAGAATACCATGAGAAGGTGCCAGCAGAGACCAGTTGATGCAGACGCCACGAATGCCCCAACTGCCAAGCCTAGAGAGAGGTAGGGACAGTTCCTCCTTTAGGGAGAAACATGGACTTTGAGATGCTGTACCGATGAGATGACAAGCCTTGGGTTTTAGGTCACTCAGTCTGTTGCTCTTCGCTACAGCAGCCTAGAAAGCTCATTCGCACGCCTAGCTCCCTTCCTCTCCTTTATATCATCCTGCAGATCTGGCTGGATCAGCCCAGCGACAGACTTGTACCCTTAATGAGGATGCTGCCAGAAGGTGTCACATCTCAATCCAGTTAAAATTAAAATTCTCATTTCTTCTGAAAGTTGTGTGAAAAGTTGGATATTTGAGGTGTAAGGAAAGGGGATAATACCTGATGCCAGAACCTCTTCAATACCTTTGAAACTGTACCAGACAGATTGCTTCTTCTACCATCTTTGAGACCCTCCTACCAAAAATATGTCTTTACTTATTCCAGAGTTTACTAGGCATCATCACTTACTTGTTTTTCACAAGGAACACGATTTAAGCCAACGATATTAGGCTTGGCACTTGATTATCCCAGTATAATCATTTGCATGATTTGAGGTGCTGTTATTGTTACAAGCTGGTATTAGAATCTTAAATGTGGCATATCTTACCCAGAAATCTTTAGTGCTTTATAATAACAATAATATTGTCTGCATTATGCAGTAATAATGAAAATTACATTTGCAAAATAGTTCATGGTAATGGGACATTCTGAAAGGCAAGCAAAAGGAAATGCATAATGGGAGAGAAAATTTTGTTTTATTCACTGTGTTGTGGCAGTCTGTGCTCTCAGGTCGGGAGGCAGGGAAGAGCTTGCGGGCGACTCCATGCCACACCACTGGAAGGCTGAGTGACAAAGACCAGCCTGTATGGCGCTCATCAGAGCAGGGTCTCTCAGTCACTGGGCTGCAGAAGGTGGGGGTGTTGTCATATTTAGCATGCTGTTTGCTTTTTAGAAAATATTTTCATCAAGTGAATAAAAACTGCATTTCTAAAGCAAGCATGTATTTGCTATGATGTAGCTTTATTTGGTTCTGTTCTGGTTGCTTATAAATTCTGATTGATAATTTATTTAAAATACGTTGAGGTGGGGAATAGCAAGATGGCTCAGCAGTTAAAAGCACTTGCTGCCCTTGTAGAGGATCTAGGTTTGGTTCCCAGCATTCCTGTTCACAACCATCTGTACCTCCAGTTCCAGGCGTTCTAATCTCTCTGCTGACCTCTGTGGGCACCAGGCATGCATGTGGTGCACATACATACATGCAGACAAAACCCCATACACATATAAATGCAACTCTATAATATGCCTGGAAAATATGATATCTTCCTCTGTGTAGACTTTTTAAGTCGATATTAAGCTAATGAACTTCATGCTGCCTCCCCATCCCCCACTCCTGACTTCCCTGTTTGTTTTTGGTTTGTTTTTGTCTTGTTTTGTTTTCCTCCTTGTGTTTGCTAAGCAATCTACTCTACTGAGCTACATCCCAACCCTACCTTGTCCTTTTCACGTTTTGATTTGTTTATGTTATTCATCATATCCCAACTCACAGAAAACCCAAGTCTGTGGGGGACATAGGTCTGTAAGGAACCTAAGAAACTCTTGGCTGTGTGACTCAATACAACACATGTTGCTCTTTGAATTTGGGGTGTATTCTCTACCAATTAGGACATTTTGTGAAATTTTGATTAAATATTTCTTTTGACAGCTTAATTACCCTTAATCCAGGAGGATTTTGCCTAAAACTGCCAAGATTAAACAAAGCTAGAGATGTGCCAAAGCGGCTGGGAAGAATTGAGGAGAGAGTTAATTCCCTTGGGTCCATTTCATGAGAATTAATTTAGCCTGGCCCACATTCCCATGAAACCTGTCTTCACTCAGTTACTCTCATGAAGAAAAATGTTGTTTCTCACCTCTTCTGTTTGTTTTGAAACCACTGACTCCCAGCCAGTTTGCAGACACTGCCTTTCCTGAGGTCTCTCCATTCTTGGTTCCAGGACATCCAGTCAAGAGTGCCAAGCCTGTGTTGCAGGTCTCAGGACATCAGACAAAGCCTACTTTCTTGGAGCGATTATATGTGGTGTCTATGCACCTTCTCCTGCGTGCAACTCTGAAATCACTCAAGGAGGCCGCCAAGGCCTCTCGTATGCTAACAGCATCCAGAAAACTTAACAAACAGGCGGCACAGACAGCAAAGCGTGGGCAGGACTGGACTTGGTGTTGTCCATCCATGTTGATAACCCACAAAGACAGCCTCACTTCTGCAGAGCCGGATCTTAGTGACTCTGGCCAGCAGCTTCCTGGGGGGCCGAAGTGCCTGGGACTCCAGTCTTTGTTCCTTTGAATGTTTCCTTCCATTCCAGTATTCACTGTGTCTGATGCCGTCAAATTTCCTCAGGGTGAAATTACCCCTTTTCAAAAGTACTCTGAAAATTCAATGATACTGATTCAAGCACCTACTGACCCACATTCTCTCCCAACAGTACTTGATTTTCTAAGACCAAAGCTGACTGTTTTTATGTATAAAAGTTTAGGTTTATGTTTCCTTTAAGATTCCTTATAAGATTACTTTTCAAGTTAAATAATAAAATGATTGATTCTTTCTTCGTAACCACAATATGCAGCCTGCCAACAAAAGATTTGGCTGAGGAAAAAAAAATGGTCCTTGCTTGCTTATGTTCTGTTAATCTGTAATGAGTTACTTAAATGTAATGTATGCGGGTTATCGAGATGACTCTATTTTTAATCATGTAAAGGAGATGAAAAACATGTTTTTACCTGTATTCATTATAATCACTCACTTGAAAAATGGAATGTGACCACATACATTGTGACTCCTGAACTGTCTGAAAGATTTTGCTGGGGGTATATAAGCTGTAGAAAAAAAGTATACAGTAGAAGAAGAGAAAAGAACAGAAAGAATAAAGAAGAAAACCATCGAGAGTGTGTGAGTGTCTTTTCCCCTAACTCCCTCAGATAAAAAACGTCATAGTATTGTACACACTGACTCTGGATTTCCCATTGAACCCTGAGCTGTCTGGAGGCTGGCCCCCCAGCCAGCAATGATATGGTATGGTATGATATGATGATATGATATGATATGATAATATGATATGATATAGTATGGTATGATATGGTATGATGTTATAATGTGATATGATGTGATATGATATGATATGATGTGATGTGATATGATATGATATGATATGATATGATATGATATGATATGATATGATATGATATGATATGATATGGAGGTGGCATAGTGAGTGACCAAATCTGAGAATCACATTTTGTTGCTTTGTTACAGATCGATATTCTCAAGGCAGACCTGGAAAGTGCAGAATGGAAAGTTCTAGAAAATCTCATCCTGGAAGATGTCCTTGAACAGATCGGCCAGCTCATCTTTGAGATTCATCTCCACTGGCCCGGCTTTGAGGTCAGCGGCAGCGAGAGCAGCGTGGTGCGGTTCTGGTACAGCCTCCTGAAGGAGTTGGAGCGGAAGGACTTCAGGCTCTTCCACACCTACAAAGACTTGTCGAAGCCTCAGCTTTTCCTGAAGAAAGACATTTTCAATGCCAGCAGCTGTTACACCCTGAGTTGGGTGAATACAAGATGGAAGTAGGAACGTACATACAAGAAACGTTTGCAGATAGAGGCGTCGGTGCTTCCAGTCGTGGAGCTAGGTCTCGGCTTCCACCAGCCTGTTGCTGCTCAGGGCAGGGACTGTGTCTGCAGTACATGAAGTCTTGAGCTGGACACGCGACAGCAGCCCGGATGAACACTCTGCTTTCCCGGACTGAGACTTTGCGTTTTTGCCGTTGACAGATCCGGGCGTGCCCTCTTCACTCTCACTCGAGGGTAGAAATACCCCGCCGGTGCCGGGTGCCGGTTTCCTTGAGACTCATTATGTGTCTATAGCTCACGCATTTACATTAAAATGAAATTTTATTAATTTCGACGTTTACTAGGTTGATCAGATTTTAAAATGCACTGTTCATTTTAAATTGGGACACTTGCCTCCTTCAAGGTTTCTCTTGCTCAGCCAGGCAAAGCTGTGCTTTGCAGCCTGTGGATTTCTGCCAGTCCTTCTCAGCCTTTGCTGAGGCCAAGCTCTGGTTTCCCCAGAACTGCTGATTCCAGTTCCTGGGAACTTAGAGACACCAACTTCTGTCAGAGAACGTCAAGAACTTCAGTTCAAAATTCTTTTTGTACTCAGCCTTAAACACTTTCATTTCCTATGAGACGAAGCCCAAAGCAGAGGCTGAGTGTTTTTGCTACTCCCTTGCCAGCCTTCAAACCTGACTTCCGTACCACCGGCTCGCCTCTGCTGTCAAAGCCTCTGAAATACACTATCTTAGGGTGGAGGAGCTGGCTCGGTCAGGAGAGTGACTGCCACACAAGCCCGAGAGCCGGAGTTTGCATCCCCTGTACCCAAACGCCAGGTGCCAGGCAGCCTCTGTAACCCCAGTGCAGGACGAGGGTGGGCTGGAGACAGCCTGGGGCTCACTGGCCAGGCTAGCCTGGCTGAATCAATGAGTTTCCAGCTCAGTGAGAGACCCTGTCTCAAAAGATAAATTGTAAGCTGGGCATGGTGGCACATACCTTTAATCCCAGCGCCCAGGAGGCAGAAGCAGGTGGATCTCTGTGAGTTCAAGGCCAGCCTGGTTTACACAGTGAGTTCCAGGACAGCCTGAGCTACATCGTGAGATCTTGGCTGAGAAAAAAAAAACAAAAGATAAGTTATACAAAGATAGAGGAAGACTCCAGTGTCAATCAACTGATTCCCTCTCTGTCTGTCTGTCTGTCTGTCTCTCCCTTGCTCACTTGCTCAGTCTTGCTGTGTAGCCCAGGGTAGTCCAGAACTCACTAGATGTCTCAGGCTGGTTTTGACCTTTGATCCTCTTGCCTCAGCCCCTGGTTTCACTTTATTTTTTAAAAAATTAAGCAGAACAGGTAGGTTCTCAATGGTTCAAATGGTATCTATAATTCTTATTTACAGATATAGACTGTCCTGTGGATGATTTTCAAAAGTTTTATGCTAATTAAACAATATAAAAATAAACGAAGTTAAGGGTTTGGAGGCATATTTTTACATACAGAGTATGAAAACTATATTTTCATTATTCAAAACATTGTAGGAGGCAGAGGAACTCCGAGTGTTCTCACAGCTCATCCCTGCCCCGGGCTTCTCTTTCCTCCTGCTGCCACCTCAGGTATCACTGATCTGGCTTCCGGCTTTTGAAAATATTAGATATTAGAATAGGATGATCTCCCTGATGAGCTAAAAGGAGACCAGAACTTCTGAATTAGTTGTGGTGAGTTTTAAAAATCTGAGATTTGGGGGTTGGAAAGATGGCTCAGTGGTTAAGAGCATTGGCTGCTCTTCCAGAGGACCTGGGTTCAATGCCCAGCTCCCACATGGCAGCTCACAATTGTCTGTAACTCCATTTCCAGGGGATCTGGCACCCTCAAACACATACATGTGGACAAAACACCAATACACATAAAATAAATAAATTATTTTAAAAAGCCCTGAGGTTTTGATTTTTAAACTCACAGTCCAAAAAAAAAAAAAGTGTCAGGTTGGGAAGAATAAATGTGATCACCAATGTCAGCTCAGTCTCATCAGTGTATTTCAGCTGTCCATAAATACAGAAGGGTCCAAGGATAGTCTAAAATGCTCTGTACTGGTAGTTTGTATGGTGCTGTCTCTGAAGAAAGGTAACTTTAGTCTGACTTTGTTTGGATTTTGTCACAGACTTTTTTTATAATAGTTTTATGCACTGAAGTGTATACATAATAAACATCCTTATATATACCAATGTATAGAGTGCACTATATTTTAAGTGTCTGGTCTGTCAGCCCCGACATGTATACATACCTATAGCAAGATTTTTTAGTCCATGAATGGGAGATTTAAGGCACTGAAGGTTCCAGACAGGTGATGTAGGGTATTGGCTTCATCATGCCTTATATGATTAAAGCAAGAGTGGATGTACTGCTAAAAACAACCGAAAACCCCACCCAGACCCACTTAGCAGGCAGCCTGTGTGACGGCTCTGCTATTTATACTTATTTTTCTTCATGGATAGTTTAATGTTTACGCTGGATATTTTGATGGTTGCCGTGACTCCCCTGTCCCTAGAACTGGTTTGTACCAATGTGGGTCAGAGTCTCAGCATTTGGAACTGGATAAATCTTCAAGTGTGGGAAGACTGTCCCATGCACTATGGGATGCTTGGCAGCATCTCTGGACTCTACCCGCTAGGAGGCAGGAGCAACGGCCCCACCCTCCAGGGTGTCACACCTGAATGTGTCTGCAGTGCCAAATGTCCACCAGGGAGCAACCTACTGCCTCCACCCTCGCCTCCAAAGTGGGAAGTACTGATGTTGGCTCTGAGAAGTAGGTTGGGCTACTGCAGCCCTGGCTTTTGCTCTCAGAGGAGGATTAACACAAATGGCTTGTGAGGAACAGACAAAACAAGAGCCACCACTACCACCAACACCACACAGACCCAACACATCTAAGAAGCAAACCAGCCAAATCCAGTGTTATTGTTTAGTGGGAGCTCTAGAGATGGGCCAGTCACTGTGTGCATCAGCCATCCTCTTCTCTCTCAACAATCCAACGAGGAAGCATAATTTTCCAGGTGTAAAGAAACCAAGAGGTTACATAGCCTGTATTCGTCTGATAACTCACCTAGTGGATGGAATGTGAATCTACAGTCCCCGTCAGATCCAATGGGAGCACGCTCCATTTCCTGCACAGGGCAGCCAACGTTAGATGCTACGTTGGAAAATAGCTTTTCCCTCCCGGTCAGCTGAAGGAGGGGAACAGCCAACACACCTAAGCAGACCTGCAAACTGGTGGCGGTTGGGTTGAGCATTCGGGTTTGCTTAGCTTGGACTTCATTTAAATAAGCCTAGCAGGTGGAGGCTGACCGAGGGGCTGTGGGGACCCAGTAATTTCCCTGTCAGTGTAAGTCAGGCAGTCAGAGGGGCTTCTGCGAGGCCTGGGTGGCACTCTTGCTCCTGCCTGTCACAGTGGATGGTGCTCTCCTCCCAGCTGTGATGACGGCAGTGGGTTCCTCTGGGCCTTAAAGCTCGTCTTTGGCCTACAAATAAATGAGCTGAGATGTGAAGATCCGCGGTGTGCATCCCCTTCATCAACCCTTACCAGCATACTGTCATATAAATGATCCAGAAAATACGAATTCCGTAAATATCAAATTACTTCAAAGAGCCTGCACTTTTTCAGGTGAGGGAACTAGGAGGATGTAAGGGACTCAGAAGTTGCCTTTTAGCATGAGCTGTGTGAGAGCCGAAGCAAAACATCCTCCTCTACCTGAGCGTTTACATGAGGTTGTAATAGGCTAAAGTCACCAACTATTTGGCATGTTCGGATGAACCGAGCCAGGGAAAAGGGGATAATTGACTGGCACCCCAGTAATAGTTACATTGGGATAAAAGGAAAGTAATTTCATGGATTTACACAGTGTCCAAGCCTGTTATTCACACCAGCACTTCTGCCTTGGATATACGACCTTTTGGTAAATGTGGTCCAAGACGTGACTTTCCTTAATGCTAAATGCTTGGGCTTTGCAAAGCTGGATTAAACCAGCTTGCCAGTTTAGCCAACAAGGGCACCTCCACACTCAGGTGTCCTCGGCTGATAAACTCGTGTTTGCTTTTAGGCCTGGCGCTCTGTCAACTTGACACATTTGGGAAGAGGGAACCTCAGCTGAGAAAAGGGCCCACCAGGTCAGCCCATGGGCAAGTCTGCAGTGCATTTTCTTGGTAGATGATTGATGGGGGAGGGCCAGCATGGTGCATGGTGCATGGTGCATGGTGCATGGTGCCATCCCTGGGCTGGTGGTCCTGGGTTCTATAAGAAAGCAGGTTGAGCAAGCCACGAGGAGCAAGCCAGCAATTGTCACTCCTTCATGGCCTCTGCCTCAGTTGCTGCCTCCAGGTTCCTGCCCTGACTTTTCTCAGAGACGGAGTATGACCTAAGAGCTGTAAACTGAGATAAAACCTTTTCCTCCCCAAATTGTTTTTGAGATTGGCAATAATTATTTTTTACTAGCCAACTGCTGGCCCTTCCTTTATGATAAATAGCTTCCATTCACTTCCACTGGGAGAGGTACGGGAACTTCATGAAGCCATCACCCAAAGAGTCAGGAAATCCTTAAAACTGTCTAGATTTAGAGGTTAGTCTAAACATTGGAATACTTTTATTATATTTGTGTTCTTAAGAAAAATAAACCAAGCAGGCCTAATGCCATATTTTATATTTAGAGCAATATAACAAAATGTGACATTATCAATGAATTGAAAAAATATGCCTGGAGCTGGAGTGATGTTAAAAGCACATGCCTACATTGGCCTCTGCATTCTCACACATATAGCCACACACAAAACATAAATAAAAAGATAAAAATAAATCTTAGCCAGGCAGTGGTGGTGCATGCCTTTAACCCCAGTACTTGGGAGGCAGAGGCAGGTGGATCTCTGTGAATCTGAAGCCAGCCTGGTCTACAGAGGAAATCCTAGGACAGCCAGGGCTACACACAGAGAAACCCTATCTCAAAAAGCAAACAAACAAGTAAAATCTTAAAGATATGTATTTTTTAAAAAACAAGAAGCTTCATATTCATCTCATGTAAAGTTTCTTGGTGGCTGGTTTGTAAGATTAAGGGATTATACTCGGCTAAATTTAAATTCAGATAGACTATACAGAAGCCCTAGTGTTCACAGGAGGATAGCCCATCACTGTGAGCCAGTAGAAGAGATCTGCTATACACATGTATACACAAATATGTACGTATGTATGTCCCTATCCTTGATAAAAAAGAATGTATACATGTACACACACACACACACACACACACACACACACACACACACACACACCAGTTCCTATCCTTGATAGACATGACTTTACATCATCTA